CATATATAGAACATATTTTTTTTTTGTCTTTCACGGTGACAATATACACGTCGGAATAGACGATGATGTTGGTGTACGAAACAGAATATGGGATATTGTAAGATATGGTACATGAGGACGGTGTACACAGTGGAATAGATGATGATGTTGATGTACGACGACCGTGTACACGGCGGAGTAGATGATGGTGTTGATGTACGGCGGCAGTGGATGTGTTGGTGTACGAGGACGGTGTACATGGCGAAGTAGACGATGGTGTTGGTGTACAAGACAGAATATGAGACGTTGTAAAATATGGATGATGAGGACGGTGTACATAGTGGAATACGCGATGGTGTTAATGTACGATGATGGTGTTGATATACGATGACGGTGTTCACAGTGGAGTATAAGATGGTGTTGGTGTATGAGGAAGGTGTACACAGCTATATACTTTTAGTTATACCCTTACTCTTTGTCTGGTTGGGTTGCATTTAATATTTATGGTTTATGTTATATCTAAACATATACGTACACTATCATGTGTTTCATGTACGTATACTATCAAATAAAAACGTTGTACATCTATAACTGAGAGTACATAAATAGTAAACAATATGCACGTGTGAATATCATATACACTCAATACAACTACATGTACACAAAATCACAAAAACTTGTGTCATTACTCATGCTTATTGCAGTGTATATGGATTATGTTTCAAATATGCATACATATAACGAAATCACATACACATTAATGGGAATGTTGTACATACATCCATAGAGGGGGATGTTGTACATACATCCATAGAGGTAGATGACGTACGCGGTGTACGTACATACATAAAAAAATCAAACACCATCGTCTATTCCGCCGTGCCAATCTTAATTCCCAAACATATCATCTTATTTACCATCCTTGCTATTGTCATGTACATCGTCTTCGTACACCAACGCCATCGTCTATTCCACCGTGTATACGATCGTCGTACACAAACACCATCAGCTATTCCACCATGTACACCATCTGCATACACCATATTTTATAACGCCATTGTCTATTCCACCGTGTACACGATCGTCATACACAAACACCATCACCTATTCCACCATGTACACCGTCACCGTGTACACGATCGTCGTACACAAACACCATCACCTATTCCACTATGTACACAGCCTATTCCACCGTGTACACGATCGTCGTACACCAACATCATCATCTACTCCGCCGTGTACATCGTTTTCGTACACCAATGCCATCGTCAATTCTACCGTGTACACAAACACCATCACTTATTCCACCATGTACACCGTCTACATACACCAACAATGCTACATATGTTGTCTCGTACACCAACACCATCGTCTACTCCGTCTTGTACACCGTCATCGTACACCAACACCATCATCTACTCTGTCGTGTATACCATCACCTATTTTACCATATACACCAGTCGTCGTACACTAACAAGATCGCCTATTCTATCATGTACACCGTCTTCATACACCACATTTTATAACAGCCCATATTCTTTTTCGTACACCAACATCATCGTCTACTTTGGCGTGTACACTGTTATTGTATACGTTAATAACGATAGACACGACTAAATTTCTTCTTTATTAGTGCGGTGTAGATTACCAATTTCTCTATCATGGTTATACAAAAAAAAAGATACGACAAAGAAAGAATTAAA